AAATTATTACGATTTTTAAAACAGAGAGGGAGAAATAATGTTTTACCTTTAGTTTTAATTATAACTTTGATTTACATATTTTTATCTTATATATATATTGTTTCCATTTGAAATCTGTTAGTAGAATAGTGATTTATGTCTTTCTGCACCTTCAGTGTCTTTTCGCCGAGTGGGACCAAAAATAAATTTCCAGTTTTGTCCACCGACTTTTGTTTGTTTTTGCGTAGAAACTCTAATTGTAATTTGAAAATTTTTTCAAACTGTTTTAACTGCATTTGATATTTTATGCTGGACTCTGTATGGACTCGAATGGGATCCTTTGCCGCACCTCATAACACAAAAACGAGCCCCGGCATCGTTCCTTTCGACATCAACATTTTTGCACATCTTCAGGTATATCTTGCTGGTGCTACCTTCCATTCTGCTCCAAAATGAGGTTGATTTGTTTTTGGACTCGCGGCCCTCAAATTTCTGGGCCGAAAGCTTTGAAAATCTACCAAACGTTTTGCAGAAAATCATAGATTTGGGTGCTGATTGCTACTAAAGATACTGTTTTCATATTTTTTATAACTTTATTAAGAACGTTTTTGGCGGAAAACTTTCATTACAACCAAATATATGCAACAAGATGGATTATGACAAGATGCCTGGTTATTGCCAAATCACTGGCCACTGTAACACTGTCGGGAATTTTATTTTGATCCATTGCATGTGCGTAATTTTATAGATTTATTTACTTTTAATTATTGTGACTTTCAATAAGAACTAACCGCAAAGGGTTGAGTTCACCTTCTTTATGTATTGTTTGTTGATGATATCTGATTACATAAATTTCTTTTTTAATGAGTCTTGTTTTGTTTCATCAGCAGAAGTATCAATGTGTAGGCCTTTTAATAATGGCTTCGAATGGTCTACGTTTGTACAGAAAATTGTGTATACTTATGCGAAGAACGCCTTTATCGAGAAAGAAACTTTGGACCTTTGAATAATCATTTTTGTCAAATGCCCGCTTTAAAAATTAACCATCTTTGAGCTGGCTGTCTGTTTTTCCTAGGTTTAAGTCTTTACAGTTGTTTTTTTAAGTAATTTGAGCTTTGGTATCATAAAAAGGAGAATCATTACCGCTACTTTGATAGGGTGTTTAAAATCTGTGTCAAAGCCGGCATTTGTAGTATCCATGTCATTACTGTGGATCAAAAGCGAAATTTTTTGTTTTAAGAAATTTCCACAACATCCGTATAGCTCGCATTGTTTTGAGCGGGTATCTTAAACAATTCCTTTCATCTATGGAAATGGAAGAGGAAGGAGCTGGTTGTGACTGATAAATTACTTTTTTGTATGTTTTCTTCGGCAGAAACATCAGCACTCTAAATAGTAACAAGCCTGTGAGAAACCTTACTCACTATCTCAGTTGCATAAGTAAATGTCTTGTTGAGTTACAACCCTAATTGTTTTTATTTGAATCTGCGTTTCATAATTTTTTACATGTACTTAAATTATACTAAAGAACTGAATCAAGAAAAACACTATTTTCAAGTTCCCTAACAGGAACATCCCGTAGGCTTAAAAAGTGCAGTTAAAATCGCATTCATGCCATTTGGATTGTTTGGAGAAGCTACTAAATTGGAGAATAATTGAGGGAATTTCAGCAGAGAGATAACAGTAAAAATTGAATAGCATTGGGGAAATCGTGTTCGCGATCGATACATGGGAATGCTATTTGCGATGGGGATTTTCAGCGCTTGAACTCCCTGATTCGCGGGAACATGAGGACTTCTTAAGCACTACAAATAGTATTTCTAAATTTGAAGGTTGTATTTAACAATCAAATAGCGTGAAATATCTCTACGTGTATTATTCAAGATTAACTTAAAAATTAGTGTGTGACTTTTAATTCTTTTTGATAAATATTTAGGCTTCAATTAGTCAGAAATTTCACCTTAATCCAGAAACTATGGACTGCTTTCCTTTACGCTTGTGATGAAGCGTTCAGATCTAGTGGAACGTGAAAAAGATATCAGATTTGAAAACTCGAACTTTTGCTTCTTGCGCTAGAGACAGCTTATAAAATAGACTAATTAAAAGCTGGCTCAGAATTTTTCCAGCGCGTATTTTGGAATTGAAAAAAGGCTTGCAAGACGCTAAAGCCGGAATATGACTTGACCGACCAGGGTTTTCGCTAATAAAAGCACAAATTTTCCAATACTACTATGAGAAAAAATTATTTTCTTGATTTTAATGTAAAAATTCCCCTGGTATTTTATACCTGGATTTGTGTACTTTTAATGCATTGCCTTAATTTCTTTGACATATTTTAATATGCATATACGATATTACAGATAACACAAAAATATCTACGGCTTTGCAGGTTAGAGGGTAAAGCCAAGGTAGCGATAGTAAGTATCACAAGACGTGACTGCCAGAAGTTCTCATCTAAACATTCAAAACCCTCAGCTTAAATGCCCCACGGGAAAAAAAACTAATTTGGATTTTCCAAAGGATTACGGACGTTAGAAGGCTTAAATCATAATAATTGGTTAATTAAAGTAAAATACCTTACAACGTCAAAAGCTTTCATAATTCCAAGAGTCGCGTTGAACAGAATTTTGAATGATAAAGAATCTACCTAATAATTGCAGTGGTTTATTTATATACACTATTTTCTAGCAAGAAACTTTACTGTCGGTATTAAGACAATGAAGTTAATTCGCATATGTGGCAATGAATGGGAGAGACGTAACTTTCCCAGGAAATGCTTTATCGCCAATGTCAATGCTGTTCTGCTTGTTTTCCTTGGCAAAATCCTTGGCGAAATTGCTTTTAAAGAACTGGAGTTCATTCCGCTAACTTTGATATCATATTTCGGAATAATTGATACAAACAGGTAACATTTTAAGTAATTGATGTGAACATATTTCAGAACAAATTTTTAGGTATTACCTGATTTCAGTCACATTAATAATTTTATTTTAAAAATTTTAATAATTAATTTTTATTTTTAAAGAGTTATCTGACAGCAGTAGCAACATACCAGACCTTGCTTCGGATTCTATTAATCTATCCAAGTCGATATGTTGGTTACAGCTGAATTAGCTCGAATGTAAAGTCAGGAATGGGCTCAAAAAAACCATTACGATGGGAAACTCAGAACCTGGAAGTGGAAACATCACTTGAAACTATAAAAGTTATGCGAACGTTAATGATTCTCTTTAGCCCAAAAGGGCGCTAGTCCCAAATGGGATATTAACCTAGAAACGGCATTTTGCGTTGAATTACTTCTAGTAAAACATATGCACTTTTGCTAAAAGAGATTCAACGCAAAATGCCCTTTCGAGACTAATATCTATTTGGGACTAGAATACTCTTATGGGCTAAAAATAACAATCGTTAATGTCTACGTTGTATTTTTCAAATTGTTGCCACCGAATATTACCGCTCTGTATTATATCTAAAGAAATTAAATAACGAAAAATCTGCATGAATGTACGTATGTTTCCCGCAATGTGAAAAAACAACGGTACCTAGAGCCAACAAATTTTGAATAAAAACGTGCTCCCCCCGGACATGGGCACCTGGCGGCCTGAATTTTGAATTTCAAATTTTTTTTATTATCCATTTCTCATTTTGTAAATTTTTAACGTATTTTTCATTAACAAACTCAAAGATTTCAAAGCGAGCACTGGCAAGACGGTTCGAAATAAAACATTTTTATCTCCAGTTCGCGAGACTATGTATCTGCAATTATTAATTTAATGTTGTTTTTATTACTTTGTGATTTTGCTGTTGAATCGGATTTTATGTGACGTAAGCGCCAAGAACGTGATTTTTAATAAAAAAAAGTTAACAATCAAAACAGAAAACAAAAGTTTTATAAGCCATGTTGCAAAGACGCTCTACATTGATATGATGAATTGAGGAATGACTGGAAAAAAAGTTAAATTTAAAAGCTTTCAGACATTCCAGCCAAAGAAGAGGGATTTTTTAAGTTTTGTGTATTACCTTTATTTCTTACTTAGACATCAACGGAAAACGCCCAAAAGTGTCGCATTGTTTTGTTTATTGTTGGGAAGAGTTTTCAACATCAGCCATGTCTTTATTTGATTAGGCATGTACTTTAAGTTAAGAATTACAACGTTGGAATTAATACTAAAGGAATTTTTGCCTTTCTTACTGCGTGCTCTGGTGTGCAACTACTATTATTTTCGTCTATCTTTGTAAGACTTGGAATTCGAATTCTAGGACTTAGATCTTTTACATAATTCGTACTCTGAAACTATAGTGGACTTTCCAAATATGCTGAAACAAGGTGTTATTTTTTTACCTGAGTGAAAAAGAACAAATCGAGAGTAATGTCACAATGTACGAATGTATAAAATAATGTGTTACATTAATATAAATAATGTCTCTTTCTTTAAAACATATGAGAAAAAATATTTTTATAAATATGAAAATTCAAGTTTGGTGATAAATATAGCAATAGGATATCTAAAGAAACGAAAATGTATTAAATCCAACCCTCAAGAATTAACTCGTAAAATAACTAAGTGTTTAGAAAATATATCTCAACGGGAGAAATATGTGAGGTAACAAGTGTTTTGATCTCACAATTAAAATGGAGGAATGAAAAGGTAAACAAAATACCTTGTGCTTTTACATTTTTGCAAACTTGGACTGAAATTAAGCATTTTTAAGGTCCAAAGGGTTTTCTTTTCAAAACCCTTAGGACTTTTAAATACCGTACTAAACTTGTAATCGGATGCGCTCTTCACGAAGATGCGTAGGCAGTTCTTCAAAAAATTCAATTTTAGTATTCTAATTAGAAATTTACAAAACTATGAGATTCCTTTCGAGTCAAAGATACCGTTTTTGATACTAGTAAAGAATGAATGAACGTAAATTTTGAGCTATAAATATATGAGATCTTATTATTAGTTATAATTTTTATAAGCATTTTTATATCTCTGTGTATATTTCAACTGAAAAATATTTGTTCTTTTCAGTTTGGTCAGCTGTTTTCTTATTCATGGACTTTAGGCGAGTTTTGCTGCAAGTTCGTCCACTACGTCCAGAACGTTTCAGCCATATGTTCTGTACTCACTCTCACATCTATGAGCGTTGAACGGTAAGCTAATTTAATTTTAAATCAATTGTTTGCCATTTATAAACTACTTGGATAACTTTCTGTAACCTTGTTTTCTAAAGTGTGATGAAATACTAATAAAGAAATATAAACAAAATACATAACTTTAATCATTATGGAAAGCATGTAGGGTGTTTCAGAAAGATGGGTACAGTTTTTATTTCCTTGAATATTGGCCATAAATAAAACTGAGAAATATCTTTAAATACGGATCAGACTCGTGTGAAAACGGCTTTCAACACAAATCAAAATTTCTTTGCTTCTTGTAGCATACAATTTTCAGGTACTATAGAGAGGGTTTCAGAAAAATGGTTTCAGATTTTCAGGAGAGATAAAGTACACCCAGATGATACAATGCATTGTCGGAAATGTTTTCCTGGCGCGATAGAGAAACAAAAACCCAAAAAAGGAAGGACGCGAAAAGGGTGAGAAATCATGTTTATTATGATACGTACAGTTAAAATATTGGGAATGGGAAATTTTAGCATACATTAACAGCCTTCATGTGAATCTCCCCCTAAATGCAGCATATCCTCAGCTTTGGATTAGCAGGAATTGTCTGGTTCATTTGCCAGCATGATCGCCTGACCACATTTGCATTGACTACTTCCCTGCCTCTAGGGCCTAGGGGTATGTCAACACACTGGTGTACGAAAGCCACTTTAACAGTGCTGACAACCTTGTTGCACGCATTGTATCAGCTGCTGGAGAAGTCCGGGATACGCCCAGTATTCTCCAAAACACGCGATCTTCCATGCATTCGAGATGTGAAGCCTGCATCTCGGTCTAGTGTCGTAAATTTGAACACTTTTTTCATGACGATTGTTGTATGTTTCTATTCTTATTTCTTGGTTTCTGCTCTACTAAGCATAATAGACATTTTAGGTTAAAATGACATGTCGAATAATGATTATTGGAGAAGTGAAACAACGATAATCAGCACAATATTTGTAAGCTTTGCAGGACTGGTTTCAATGAACGAACCTAGTCCTGAAAAACGTTTACAAATCTTATTCTTGTTATTTGACTTCTCCAATAAACATAATAGACATGTTTTCTGACCGCATTCGTGTCCTTTCTTTCTCATGTTTTGTGTTGTTACTACTGCGCCAGGAAAGCATTTCCGACCATTCTTTGCTATGCGATTTTCAGTAGTTTGGGTGTTCTCTAGCTCTCCTGAAAGTCTGTAACCGTTTTGCTGAAACACCCTGTATGCTATAATGCTATGCTTTAATCATTTAATAAATCCTATTCTTGATGTGTAAAGTAGGAGGATATATTTGAAAATGACTGTTGATGGTAAATGCTGCTGGTTTCCCTACCTTTTGATTCAGTTTGAATCCTAGAGATGACGTGGATATTTGTATTTATCTACCCCCTTTTTCACAGGCATAAAATCAGTTTACCCCTTTGCGGTTCACCCTGGGTAACATTGCAGGAGACGACTAAATGATAGATAGCTGAGGCGTTCGCGACTAGTGCTTATGAAAAACGCGTTTGGCCATTAAACAAAAGTTTAGAATGATTTCCGCTGATTTTCCATGACTAATAGCAACTTCAGGACAAGACTTTTGAAAACAAGCTCAAAAGCAAGTACCAAACAAAATTGTTGAAGTTATGAGTTGTGGATAACACCAGCAGAAGAACGCATTCTGATAAACAGCATCATTCTGGATGCAAAAATGTGGAGTCCATTCTGGAACTTTTTTTATTTTCAAGCCTGTGTCAAAACTGTGCGATTGTTATATTATGTTTGTTTCTCAGCCAGGCACAATTTATTGCAAAACATTTCTCTTTTACGTCTTAAAACCTAAGAATACGCTTTCAAGCAACATGTTTTGCTTTCTTTAGCGATTTCGTGAGGCACCCACTGTAATTTCTTGCTTTTATTCAAATTGTCAAATGCCATACGGGGTTTATTTCTTTTCGCAAATCTCCTGAAAAATTTTGCAACCATGGCGAGGGGATCCTTCATTACGTTTTCCTCTGCCGAACGTTTTATTAAAATTTTTACTGCAGCTACTTGTATTTTAAATTTGAACACGTGAAGATATAGTAAACTTAACTGATTGGTTCCCTAATTCATCTTATTATAGTACACGCCAAATGGATTTGTGGCTAATGACGCTGACTACCGTACCAATGCGTCCTGGGTCGAATCTAAGAGAAGGCATGGATGTTTATAAATGTACAGTGTCTTTACGGCATGGAGGCCGTCTAAATATATGGCGATCCAAAAGTCCTCTCTTGTGGATTTGAGATAGGGAAGAGGGATGGAAGACCCTCGCAATCACCTACGGGTGCTCTCTCCCCAAGCTGAGGTCGAACTGCTCAAAATCTTACTGTCGTTTATATGTTGTCCAAGGTTCTTGCCAGTGACAGATGTAATTTTGTACTCCTTGCCACTTTGAATTTCGTGGGCTTGTTCTGATGTCAGACAAGTGAGATTTGTGACAACAACAACATCCTTATAGTAGTAGGAGTGAATGTTGGATGCTTGCTGAACGACACAAATACTGCAGCTGCATCACGCAAGTGTGACGTTGAAGTGATATAAATGACTTCTACAAAATTTAGTGCTTACTTTCTTTCACCCCGAATAGAAACTTGATTTCATTACATTTGTAACAATTAAAAAATAAAATGATAATGTGAGAGGCAACCAAGGCTCTTCTGAAACTCCTCCTCTGTTTGAAGGATTGTTTAAATTTCAAATACATGTCAGTGTTTAAAATGTAAAACTCGTAGCTGCATCTCTTCAGCATTCCTTATAAAAATAAGGAATTTTGTGTGCTGGGAACTGAAATCCTAATGGTGTATTTTCTCAACAGTAAAAACCCAAAAATTTAAATGATACATTTTCTAATAAAGCTAAGATTGAAGAAAATAACTTCGTATCAGCTATTAATCTTTACTGGATAAAAGTGATTAAATAAAAATAAATATCTTTTGGACATATTCATAAATTATGTCAAAGCTAAATCAAATTATCATTTTTAATAAAACTCCCATTATCCCTTTATTTTATTATCAATGATTTTAAGAATAAAACACATTTCTATTCGGTAAAATAAATTTAATAAACTGTTTAGTTCTGATCTCAGAAATAAATGTTAAAAGCCATCAACAGTTGTTACAAACCCATCTTTAATGTTTTTATTCTTAATCAGCAGTAATGAGATTTTGAAGATTAGAAATGATACTTAAATTAAAGCACTCGTAAAATGAAAAGCAACAAAATAATCAATAGAAAAATTTAATTTCCTTTCGAAATGAACTGAGTTTGTTAAAAGACTAGCGTTGTTTTATTTCAAAATAAAAGAAATATCAGTTTCATAACTCGATATTTGACATTTGAAACATAGCTAAAGAAACTAATCAATAATTTATTAAAAATGAATGCAATTAATTTAATAGCGAGAGTAAATATTTCTAATAAGGAAGTTTTTCTTTCTATAATATTGTTACGAGTTTTGTGTGATTGAAAGTCCAAAGATAACAAGCTCTGCCGTAAAAGTAAGATTACAAGGGCAAGTCTATTTAACACTAAAGTAAGTAGCTATCTCGTTAAACTGGCGAAATATCGCCAAGCTGGCGACGGTTTCGGCGACTGACTTTTATCCCCAAATTTGGCAAGGAAGGGCAAAAGTTGCTAAACCTTCCGACTATTTGGCGATATTTGGGTCCGGTCTGTGTATAACTGCAAATGGTCTTTGCAGTCATTCAAGTAGTGTCGGAACTGAAACTTGAGAAGGGTATAAAAGACCCTTTATTTAAAACTGAGAAAAACAGAAGTTACACCTTGTGGTTATAAATCAGTCAGCCAGTTGTGGAAATGTAACTCAGAGTAACAGTCAGTTAAATGCAAAATTTAAATTAAACTAGTAACCAAAGGCAACGCAGATTAATTTAACGCGCAGTTATCTCACAATCTAACCGGCGTGGGATTTTCAGTATCGGTAATTATAATGCAAGGCTCAAGAAGTACCAGTCTTATGTGACCTAGCAACCTAGTAACATCGTCTCGAGAGGCTTTGTCTGACAATTCAAACGACTTATCTTAAATACGTGCAAGCTAATTCGCATTCTAGCTTGGAAACGAAAAGAAGAAGTTACAGTAAAAGTATGAATCGTAAAATAACTGGTTAACTAACATAAAGAAAATCTGCAATTTTTTATATTCAGCAGAATGCTGTAAAGAAATGCTTATGGAAAAACAAAAGAACCAAAATTTAAAAAAAGCAACCAGCCAATAAACACATTTCTTAAGATTTTATTACTATTGAAAAACTGCAAGTCTCAGCTTGAGGAGGAACATGAGCTAGCCCTAGAAGTTTTTTCTACTAAGGATGAGAAGCACAGTCACATGATTCGTCTTTATTATACTATTAAGAACTTTCTGAGGAACAGGAAACTAAATTGATTTCACATTTCTTGAAAAGAATATTTATTTAAGCTCGTGTCATAGCCAAGAAACGGCATTCCATTTAAAAGAGAGAATAGAAGGATAATTTGTTCAAAAGAAAAGAAATTCCATTGGATCATCCCAAAAAGATGAGAAAGACCACATTAAACAACTTAACTCTTTCATAGCGAAGTCACCCATATTACCTGCGCATTCACGTGGCAGTGCTCGGCTGGCATGCACCTGGTAAGGCTGGTCGTCCAAACGTCTGCGTTTATTTCCTACCTTATGCTTTCACTCCATCACGTCAGTGCATGGCTCACTGGTTTCGGGCATTGTTAAATGACATGCTAACCATTCTTTTAAAGTACTTCTCTTATTTGAATGCATCTTTCTTCCTCTATGTTAAGCATCAACGTGTAGCTATTGATGCTCGCAGTTGCAATCGTTTCCTAAGGGAAGAGTATACACTGGGTGAAACTGCTCAAAGATCGTAAGAGAGAAGTAATCACTTTGCTTAAGTAGGTTACTGTTAATGTTGTAGCATTCTACTTCGCAGGAGGGGAAGGAAACCCAT